ACACATACACACACACACACACACACACACACACACACTCTCTCACACACCAAATGTTACTTGTATCACATTTTTTTATTGGGGAAAAATTCATCCAGTATGTTACAATTTCATACTGAACAAAAAGAAAACAAAAATTAAAGTATTAAAAGCTACTCTAAAAGCAGATATATGAATTTATTTGAATACAGTTCCAATCCTATTTCCTTAATTGAATTGACAAGAAATTACATCCAATAAATCTACTCTCAGATTATGTAAAGCAACTTTAAAATTCTAGTAAAATTAATTGTATTTCTGGTTATCAAACTATCACTTTTGTGGCCTGGCTCATATTTCTTTATATTTTTTTTAACAATGACAGTATTGGCAACAGTAATTGTTAAAATAATAATAATTAAATTAAATTAAATTAAATTAAATTAAATTAAATTTAATTTAATTTAATTTAATTTAATTTAATTTTTATTTAATAATTTAAAATTGTATGGATTATGATGCTGACCTTGTTTTTGCCATGTAAATAGCCTTGATCCTAACATGGCGTTAAAAAAAATAAAAAATGCAAAATGTGGCCATAAAATATATTTAAATTAAATAAAAAAGATATGGAAATGATTTTAAATTAAATTAAACTAGTGATTTAACTAAATTATTTAACTAACTTAAAACCAGGGAATGAATAATAAAATGCATATATAAAATTGATAAACACATGCACAGTAGAATTTCTTTCTTTATTTTTTTATCACTTTTTTATTTCCTATTGAGTGGAAACTAAAATCTGAGCAGATTAAACTTTTCAGCACTCTCAAAAAAATGATAAAGTCATTAGAGAGACCTAATAAAAAGTTTAAAGTTATTATAATTTGAAATTAGAATTATTGTTTTCATCTTTTTCCCTTTGCTTTATTTGTGCTTAAAATGTGACCTTAATAGCAGAAGCTCCCATCCGGCGAGTAAATTGTAGCTGTGTCACACTCGCTGCCGTCATGCATGGATGAGTGTGTGTGTGTGTGTAGGCAGATCTGAGCTGCTGCGTTTGCTCTGCAGATGTGAACGAGTGTCTGCACTCAGAGGGACTGGTGTGTGGATCCCAGCGCTGTGAGAACACCATCGGCTCGTTCCGCTGCGTGGCGTCCTGCGAGCCCGGATACCACATCACTGCCTCCGGAGAGTGTGTGGGTGAGGAGTCTGACAGACAGTAAATCACACACACACACACACACACGTGCAGAATGACAGCCGGGTCTCTCTCGCAGACATTAACGAGTGCGCTAACGAGACAGTGTGCGGACATCACGCCTTCTGCCAGAATCTGATCGGCACGTATCAGTGTCTGTGTGACCAGGGCTACGAGTCCACCGCCGATGGACAGATGTGTGTGGGTGAGTGCATCACTGCAGGAAAACAAGTGACCTTTAAAAACACAAGAGTTATTACAGAAATTATATACTTCAAAAGAATATACTTGAGTGTGAACTGCATGTTCTCAGGCACTTAATGCACTCACTGCATGTTATTTAAATAAAAGTGCATTACAGTTTAAATGTGTATTAAATGCGATTAGTTAAACTTAAGAATGTTTTTGATCCACTTTAGTGGGACTTCAGAACATCTTTGTCATTTCATAATTACTTCTATTGTCTTGAAAGTTACTGCTGAATTTATTGACAAGCATTTATGATCAACTAAAATATACTTTAAATATTTTTTTCTATTGAAACGTCATGTATTTATGTATGTAGACTTATTCTAAAATATATTTGTAATTACACATTTTTAATTAAAACATGATGATGCAAAATGCACTTTAAAGTAACAAATACATGTGACATGATTACAAAGTGCACTTTTTAAAAGTGTACTTAAATGGCCACCATATCTATAAAACAAAACAAAACAAAATAAAATAAAATAATAAAGAGGGAATGGATTAGTAAAATGTGGCCACAATTTAACTAAAATGGGGGAGCGAATTAAAAAAAAAGTATATAAATTAATAAATTGTGGGGATTATTTCTTAATTTGTGGCCATGATATCTATATTTTCTTCCACGTGTCATGTGTGGTGATTAGTATAAAGAAAAAAAAAGAAAAAGAAATAAATAAAATAAAATAAGAAAAGGAGGGAACAAAGTAGTACAATGTGCCCATGTTTTAACTAAAACAAGGGAACAAATGAATAAATATTGGCCAGTTAAATAATAAACCGAGGGGATTATTCCTAGCTCATGGCCATGATTGTTTAAAGTAAAACTTTTAATATAAGAATTTTTTTTTTTTTAAAGTCTACTTAAGTATGTAAATAAACATAGTCATGAAAGTGTCTCTATTTAAGTCACTTAAGTGGCCTTTCATTTCATTAATATAATATTTACAAGATTTGAATTCCACTACAAGTGCACATTCAATACAATTAGGCACACTTATTTTTCAAGGGAAACTTAAAAAAAAATAAATAAATAAGTTTAAGGGAAAACTTAAGTTTAAGTTTTCTTAAGTTAAAAAGAAGGGAAAAACTTAAGTTTATTTTTAGAAATGTTGTGGGGTTTTTTTCTATGTAACCTCTGCGTGTCTCTTTCTGCGCAGACATAAACGAGTGTGAGACGATGCAGGGTGTGTGTGGCTCTGCGCGCTGCTGGAACGTCGAGGGCTCGTTCACGTGCGAGTGTGAGAACGGACAGGAGGAATTCGACCCGCTCGCAGGCCAGTGTGTGAGCAGAGAGAGCGCAGGTAACACACACACACACACACACACACACACACACACTCTCTCTACTGTACCTCCAGCAGGAGCACAGTAACTCTGTTTCAGTGCTGCCCTCTACTGGTAGTACTACAACTACTGCTAATAATAATGATGATGAAAATAATAACAGTTTTAATAAGTTAACTTTTTATTGCTATGATAAGGGCACTTTATATAACAAAAACATATGCATACCAAACAATATAACAACAAACACAATGCCTCTGTGCCAAAAACAAGTCAGCTATTTGACTTTCTGCTGACTACAAGTAACCGATGTAACACTGATGTAATACTCTACATAGGCAGCAATTCTGTGTCATACAAGTAAAAATCCTTGTGCAGATATTGGGTAAATAATCTACTTTTATTTAAATTGAACTATGTTTACCAATATCTTTTTTATTGAAATAATAGTATCCTTCGGGGGGAAACATAAGTACCCTCTGAAACCTTTAAAAAGAGTACTTATTATGGAAATAATGTACTTTAAAAGAATATACTTAAGTGTGAACTGAGTGTGAATTTTTGGACACTTAACTGTATGTTATTTACAAATAAATAAAAATGTATTCTAGTTTACATTTATATTAAATGCAGTTAGTTAAACTTAAGTGTTTTGACCCACTTAAATAGGACTTCAGTACATCTTTATATGTCATTTCATAATTACTTCTATTGCTTTAACACGACAAAATATTATTTAAACATAATGATTTAAAATGTACTTTAAAGTACAGTGTTTTGACATCATTATAAAGTGAACTTTAAAGTCTACTTAAGTGTGTTAAGAAACTGTCATGAAAGTGTCGCTCTAAGTCACTTAAGTGGCCTTTTTAAGTAATATTATATTATTTGCAAGGACAGTTTTTTTTATATATATATACAGTACTTTCAAAATTTGAAGTATACTACAAGAGCACATTCAGTACAATTAAGTGCACTTATTTTTCAGAAGTGATATTTATAATTGTAGTTAGTCCTTATCTGTCCATACAGTGTTTTGACATCATTACAAAGTGAACTTTAAAGTCTACTTAAGTGTGTTAAGAAACTGTCATGAAAGTGTCGCTCTAAGTCACTTAAGTTGCCTTTTTAAGTAATATTGTATTATTTGCAAGGACAGTTTTTTTTTTAAATATACAGTACTTTCAAAATTTGAAGTATACTACAAGAGCACATTCAGTACAATTAAGTGCACTTATTTTTCAGAAGTGATATTTATAATTGTAGTTAGTCCTTATCTGTCCACTGTCTCGGATGCGTTCTTGAGTTCTGAAGGTTTATTGATATTTATATAGTAACTCAAACTTTATTTCAAATGATCAAGGAAAATGTGTCTGGTCACACTTTAGTTTGAGGACAATTCCTACTATTAACTAATTATTAACTATGACTTTTACCTTAATTAACTCCTAATTTATTTTATTTATGGTTAGTACGGTAGTTGTTCATGCAGAATAAGCCATTAATATGTGCTTTATAAGTTCTAATAAACAGCCAATATGCTAGTAATATGCATGCTAATAAACAACTAGTTGATGGTGGGAACTGGTCCTTAAAATAAAGTGTTACTGCGTGTGGATTGGTTGCAGGTCAGTCGGAGCCGTCTGGCGGAGACTCCTCTTCCTCGGCTGGCCGCGGTTCGTCTGGATCGTCCGGCTCTCTGCCGCAGACTCGGCCTGGAGAAACGAGAGAGTGCTACTACGGCGTATCGCAGCCGTACTCCTGCAAGATACTGGCCCCAAACACCACGCTGCAAGAGTGCTGCTGTACAGCGGGACAGGGCTGGGGCCTCATGTGCCAATATGACGTCTGTCCCGAGACGGGAACAGGTGAACAAACACACACTAACACTGAGGAAATGCTGTGAAAAATAAGTACACTTAAGCATACTGTGAAGTAGTAATTACAGAAATTATATACTTTAAAATTATATTAAAATTGTTATTTTAGTATCATTGAGGTACGACTTTTTATTAATTTTTTTGTCTGTTTAAATTTTTATATTTTACATTAAAATTTCAGTTAATTTAATTTTGTTTAGTTTCACTTATTTGGAGTTTGTGTGTGTGTGTGTCATTTAGTAATTTTTAGTAGTTTTTTGTCTATATAGTTTTTTATAATTTTTTGTTTCAGTTTTAGTTAAGTACTTCATGATAAACTACATTAAAATGATAAATGTTGAATAATTAGCTGAAATAATTTTTAATATTAAAATGTATTTCAGTTAAGGTTTATCTTATTTAAAGTAACTGTTTAGTTTAGTTTAGTTTAGTTTAGTTAACTACAGTAGTCAACATCTGAAGTGGATCAAAAAAGTTCATCAAAGTTGTCCTAAGACAAGAACGCATTTTGGTTTTAGGTTCTAGGACAACTTTGATGAAAGGTTTAGATCCACTGTTTAAATGAAAATTATTTATAGTGTAAATTTATTAAAATAGTTTAAATGTATTAAAATTAATTTATAAAATTAATTTTATGAACTGAAGTGATTAATTTTAAGAACATTCTTAAGTGCATTTTAATGTGATTTCATAATTCAAAAGTTTTTGAAATTTGAAATTAAAATATACTTTAATATAATTTCTATTGAAACGTGTATGTCATTTTAAATATATTTGCAATTACACATTTCTAAGTTTATTGGATCTTGCAGTTTAAAATGCATTAACTTTATGTAAGTAAACACATAAAAATAAGTGTACTTCTTTAAAACATGACAAAAGATTATTATACCATAATGATTTTAAATGTACTTTAAATTAAAACTTTTAATTTGACATTAGTGCAAAGTGCACTTTTTAAAAGTCTACTTAAGTGTTTTAAGAAACAGTCATGAAACTGTCTCTCTTTAATTGCATTTAAATTTCATTAATAGCATATTGTCTGCAAGGACAGTATTAAAAATATGCTTAAGATTTCAAGTGCAAATTCAAGTTTTCACACCGACGAGTTTCTCACTTTTTTCCTGTCATCAATATCTCTCCGTTCAGTGGAATTCCAGTCGCTGTGTCCCAGCGGAAGAGGGTACATCACCACCGAAACGGGAGCGTTCAGCTACAAGGGTAAACAGACTCTCACATAAACGTCCCGCAAGTCTCTCAGCATTGGCTGCTTCTAATCTGTGTGTTTGTTCTCTGGACAGATGTGGATGAGTGTAAGCTGTTTGACCCGGAGGTGTGTAAAGGCGGCGTGTGTGTCAACAACATTCCCGGCTACGCCTGTTACTGTCCCAGCGGATTCTACTACGACACGGATCTGCTGGAGTGCATCGGTCAGCCTTCAAAACACCAGTGCCGGCTGGGATAGATGTCAGCTCAGCAGACTGATGTTTCTGTCTCTCTGTCTTCCTGTAGATAATAATGAATGTGAGAGTGAGGAGACCTGCACTGGCGGTCAGTGTGTCAATACACTGGGAACGTTTTACTGTACGTGTGAGCCCCCTCTAGTGCTGGACGACACACAGCGCAACTGTGTCAATGCAAGCGGCCTCGCTGAGGGTGAGAGATGCACAGACACACAGACTGCAATGACTTCTCTGCCACTGGCTTTGATAACATTTAGCAACCACCAGTATTTCATGCTGGCCATATAACTATTTTTATTTTATTTTTATTTTAAAAAATATCTTTGTCCATGCCATTATGATAATGGAATTATATTAGATTTTACTACAATTTATTTTACTACACTACATACTATAATTATATTTAATTTTACTGCTATAGATTTTTAGATATTTTTATATAAATTATATGTTAAGTCTTTCGTTTTAAAAAGGATAATTTATTTTTTATTTCAATAATTATTTCTGTCCTTATGATAATTAAATTATATTTTATTTTACAACTAGAAGTGTTTTTTTACATATATTTATAGAAATTATATGTTAAGCATTTCATTTTAAAGGTGTATTTTTATTTGTTTAATTATTTTTGAAATGATACTTTATTTTACTACCATAAATTTGTATTATATATTTTTATATAAATTATGAGTTAAGAGTTTCAGTTTAAAGAGATATTAAATTAGATTTTTTATATATATATATATATTTTTTTTTTTTTTGTCCCTATGATAATATAATTTTATTTGATTGCTATACATTTTTAGTATATTTTTATTATATATTTTTATTAGTTTTTAGTATATTTTTAAATGAATTATATGTTAAAGAGTTTCATTTTAGTTCAGCCAAAAATGAACCCTCATGCCCTTCCAAATACATTTTTTTTTTTTTTTTTTAAACAATTAAGATATTTTGAATGTCCCTCCATTGAAAGTCCAATTCACCAAAAATTCACAGTTAAAGAAAAGTTTGTAAATACGCCGTAATCAAGCAGTTTAAACAGATGTAATGTAGGTTTTTATTCACATATTCACCAACACACATTTAGAGCTCATCAAATACGGTCAGAGGAAGCTCGAACACTTGAATGACATGCTCTTGCGGAAGTTTATTTAAAAATATCTTAATTTGTGTTTTAAAGATAAATGAAACCCTTATAAGTTCTGAATGACATAAGAGTGAGTAATTGATGACAGAATTACATTTTTTGGTGAACTGTCCCTTTAAGAATGGAAAAAACTAAAGTTGCGATGTGTAAAATGACAACTTTAGGTCCTTTTTAAAGTTTATTTGTTGTCTGTCTGTCTGTGTTTTTCTCAGATGAGAACTTAAACTTCTGTTGGCGTCACGTCACAGCTAGTCTAGTGTGTCAGAGTCCTTTGTTAGGAGCTCAGCTGACCTTCACTGAGTGCTGCTGTTTGTATGGTGAGGCCTGGGGTCTGCAGTGTGCCCTCTGCCCCCGCAGAGATGAAGGTACACACACACACACACACACTCACACACACACACACACACACACACACAACAAAGGGTATGTGCACTTGTAGTGTACTTCAAATCTCAAAAGTATGCTATTAAAGATTGCACTTGCAGATAATATAATACTATTGAAATAAAAGACCACTTAAGTGATTTAAAGAGAGACACTTTCATGGCTGTTTCTTAACACTCTTTAGAAGACTTTTAAAAAGTGCACTTTGTAATGATGTCAAATTAATAGCTTTACTTTCGAATACATTTGAAATCATTATGTTTCAATAATATTTTGTTGTGTTTTAAAGAAGTACACTTATTTTGATGTGTTTACTAACATACCAAAGCATGTGTAAAGCACTGGATTACTGTATGTTTTAACTGTAGCATGAAATTTGATATTATGTTTAAAGTTAATATATTTTAATTGTACTAAATTGCAACTTCATTCCAAATATGCAATTGCAAATATATTTAAATACAAGTTTCAATAGAAATGACATTAAAGTATATTTTAAATGCTTGTCAGTACATTCAGCAGTAAGTTTTACCATTTCAAAGACAATAGAAGTAATTATGAAATTACATGTAAGCATGTCCTGAAGTCCTACTTAAGTGGGTCAAAAAACACTCTAAAGTTAAACTAATTGCATTTAAACTGTAATATATCATTTAATTGTGAATAACATGCAGTTAAGTGTCCATAACATTACATTTAGTTCACACTTAAGTATATTCTAAGTGTATTATTTCCATAATAAAAGTATGCTAAAGTGTTCAGAGGTGAAAATAAAGATTCTTTTTTTGTTGTTTTTGTCTGTTTAGTTGTTCTTTTCTTTGAATTTTAATTTCCCATGATTCCAATTAAATTAAGTAAAATTTTGTCCAAACCTCACACACTCATTCAGTTTCTCTCTGTCTGACTCCTGATTAGAAGCCTATGAGGCTCTGTGTAATGAGTTCGGTCCTCCTCCTTACTCTCCTCGTTACTACGAGCGCTTCGGCCCAGGGCCCCTGCCTGGAAGAGGAGGGTACCGCCCGCCGTACAGCCCCCCTGAGTACCCCGAACCCCTGCCGGGACGCCCTGACTACATATCCCCTGATTACGATGACTACAGTCCTGTGGGAGCGGGTGGACGGCGATCCGGGCTGAGAGGCAGACCGCACAGCTCATACGGGCCCCCAGACGCCCCCTACAGGCAGCCGGCCCCGGGGTGAGTGGGTCATTCGAACAAAACGCTACTGCAGTTCTTTTCACCTGCTTACACACAAATGGCCTTATTATACACCAGGCGCAATGCAGCACCCGGCGTGATGCAAGTGTTTTTTGCTAGTTTCAGCCCGACGCAGCTATCATTTTCACGTCCAGTGCCAGGTTGTTTAAATAGCAAATGCATTTGCGCCCATTTGTGAGCTCATGGGCGTGCTGGTCTGAAAACGAGGTGTGTTCAGGTGCATTGTTGGCGTGTTGCTATTTTGAGGCAACTGAAATAGACTGCGCCATTAACTAACTGGTCTAAAGTCAATGGCGCAGTATTTTTTTTGTTATTTAAAGAGCGCGTTATAGTTAAAGTATAGGCGGGTCCACAGCACTCATACACTCTGCTTATTACACACACAGAGACGCGCAGCAGCACACAAACATGCCAAATATTAAAAATAAAAAGAATTACAATGTAAAAGATTATTATTGTGTAGGCTACATAAATATAAAAATGCCTACATGCCATAATGGATAGTCATTGCATGTATCAGAAGTAGGCTACCTATTTGCTCGCGCATGAGCAGCTCCGTTACCTCTTTGGAGACGCGTTCAGTCTTTGCGCTTGCAAATTCCGCCGTGTAATTAGCGAATCCGCCATGGCACGAGCGCAACTGGCTCTTAAAGGGAATGGGAGATGAGACTCTGATTGGTTTATTGCACGTTATGCCCAAAAAACACCCATTACTCATTAAGAGAATAGGGACAACCCTTTTAGACCACGCACTGGGCGCGCCGACCGTTTTTCCTGTCGCTAAACTAGCAAAAGTGGAATTGGACACGCCCTAAGTGCACCTGCGCCGTGCGCTTTAGATCATGCACTTAGATCGTTAAAATAGGGCCCAAAATCTTTACTTGTCACACAATTTCTGAAAGCTGACACTCAAACACCAGAAACACACATCAAATCTGCAAAACCATACACTAATTCTCGGCTTTTGACTTGGTTTTGGTTTTCAATTTCATAAAACACTTTTTGCAAAACACAACACACAATTCTCTATGTAACACACACAAATCTAACAGGTGTTTGCAAATGTTTGCTTTTGAGATGTGCTTGTGATATTTTGAATGCAGTGCTTCATTTTGCAAGAGATGTGAGGCATTTTGCATTTTGTGTGTGCAGTTCTTGGATTTGTGTGTAAAGTTTGGGGAAAAAAAGGCAAAGTTTTGAAAGTGTGTGTAAGCAGTTGAAAAAAAACTGTAATAACCTGATTGTGTGTAACTGTACTCGACTCGTTTCCAGTGGAAGTCGTTACTATGAGGAGGAGGATGATTATGAAGCTGCGCCTGGCCCTCCCTTCGGTATCCCGGATCCTCGCGGCGAGCGAACGTTCGATGCGCGACCCCTGCCATCCCGTCCACACAGGCCTCCGCTCAGTTTGGCCCCGCTTCCGGAAAACTCCCCATACAGCGAGGGGGAGGAGTCATGGAGAGCCCCGCCCCCTTTCCCAATGTTTCCTGACAGACGGGAGGGAGTCTATGAGCGTGAGTCTGAAATTAAAGGGGTCATATGATGCTTTTTTAAAGATCATTATTTTGTGTATTTGGTGTAACAGAATATGTTGACATGCTTTAATGTTCAAAAAACACATTATTTTTAAAATACTGTACATTATTGTAGGTCCTCTTTAAAGTCTACCCAAGTGAAAAAAATACTAAAATGTATTTGAAATACATTTATTTTGTGCTAGGTATAGTACAAATACATTTACATATTTATGTGCTTAATTAAAATACCCTGCAATTGTACTTTTGGTATAGCCTACTAAACTGGTATATTTAAAGTCTAAATTAGAAAAAAAATAATTTTGTGCTTCATGCACTTTAATTGTGCTGAAGTCCAACTAAAGATATACTGAAGTATATTTGATTGTGCTGAAGTGGAACTATTGCAAGTATACCTCAGGTACACTTTTTAAATATCTCGCATTTAAAGACTGATATTATACAGAGATCAAACAATCCTTATTAATAATCATATTAAAACACATTTTAGGCTTAATATTAAGAAATGTGTATTGTGCAATTAAGAAATACTCCAAATAAAGTTTAATTATAATTTTATATCAGTAAGTCTTAAGATATATGTTAATAAACATGTTAATGGATTCGAAGTATACTTAGTATGAAATAAATGTATTTTAAATAAATTATTATTATTATTATTTTTACTAGGGTAGTTATTAGAATAATGCAAAAAGCATACTAAACCAGTCCATTGCAGGTTTGCTGGCTGATTTTAGATTATAACTCACAGAAGTTGTCTATACTGCAAAAAGAATTGCTTACTTCTATTTGCACTTTATTTATGTTGTTTATAATGCAAACATGCACTGAACAAAACTTGTCCATTAAGCTCAACAGAATTGCATATGATTGTTTATAATGCTCAATGCTGCAAAAAACTAAAATAAATAAATAAATAAAACGTAAAAAATAAATCTGATGCAACGTGAGCAGATCTAAATTTAATGCAGCAATCAACACATTTCATTTTCACATTTCACTTTAATCTTGATAGCAGTAATATATTTAGTTTAATTGTGCACGGGCATTTTTTGCCCCTTTATCTTAAATTTGATGGGCATTTTTTGCTTTGAGTTAAATTCCAACACTGGTGTGAACTAAATGTAATGATTTTGGGCATTTAATTGCATGTTATATACAATTATTTTTCATATAATAATATTTAATTGTTTAATTAATTTAAATTTATATTAAATGCAGTTACAGTGTTTTTAACCCACATAAGTAGGACTTCAGTACATCTTAATATGTAATTTCATAATTGCTTCTATTGTTTTTGAAATATGGTTAAGTTACTACCGAATGTACTGACAAGCATTTATGATCAGCTGAAATGTACTTTAATGTCATTTCTATTGAAACTAGTCCTATGTCATATATTTAAATACACGTGTAATTACACAGTTTTAATTGAGTTGCAATGTAGAACATTTAAAGTATATTAACTTTTAATGCAAATCAAATAATGCACTACAAATAAAATGACAATCAAGTACTTTAGTACATTAGTCAACACATCAAAATAACTACTTCTGCAAAATATTATTAAAACATAATGATTTAAAACATGGTCAACTTTTTAAATTTGACACGATTGCAAAGTGTACTTTTTAAAAGTGTACTTGAGTGTGTTAAGAAACAGTAATAAAAGTGCACTTTCTTTCTTTAAACTTACTTTTTCATTATTTTATTTCTGCAAGTGATATGAGTTTGTAATGCTGTTATATATATATTTTTTAAGATTTGAAGTGCACTACAAGTGCACATTCAGTATAATTAAGTGCACCATCCTAAACAACCTAAAAGCATCTTAAGACCAGCAAGCCAAGGGTATTTTTGTGAAAAACTCTGCAGTCGTATGTAGTGCATGAACACAGAAGAAGCCGTGATTCCTGTGTGTGTGTTTTAGGGAGATACGAATCCTACGGGAGTCTGAGTTCAGAAGAGTGTGGCATAATCCACGGCTGTGAGAATGGCCGCTGCATCCGTGTGGAGGAAGGTTACACGTGCGACTGTTACGACGGCTATCAGCTGGACCTCACTAGCATGACGTGCATAGGTAACCTTCGCTAGATTGTTCCTCACTGATCCTCCGTTCTCAAACAGTCCCACCACTAGGGGAAGCGACTAAAGATGTGTGTGTTTGACTCCTGCAGATGTGGACGAGTGTGACGATGAAGACGCGCTCGACTGCGTGAACGCTCGCTGCGTGAACACGGAGGGCTCGTACAGGTGCGTGTGTCTCAGGGGCTTCATCATGTCCCGAAGACCCAACCACTGTATCCCGGCTTGAGCGAGGACTGCATTTAGAGACTTACTAATTATTCCCTGTTTCCACCATGTTGCTGTAAATTGTTGATTTTATGACAATACTTGTGTGTATATCCAAAAGTCTAATAGTGAAGCTTTACACACGAGGCTCAATACAATACTGTAACACTTCAAGCCTTCATGTATAATGCATTATAAAGGTATTTGTAATGCATGTTGTAATGCATTATATCTTTACATAAATAATTGTAACCAAAGTTAAAATGCATTCTAATATTTGAAGGGTTGTTTTTCATGCATTATACTTTTTAAAGGTGTGTTCAGTGAATAGCTGCATTATAATGTATTTTAACGGGATGCATTATGAAGTGCATTAATTAATGCATTAAAAATGTTACACTTTTATAATGCATTATATATAAAGTGTTATCAAAAAATGATATATTAATGTACTTTTTAATCGGTTTAAATGCAGGGCAGATGAGCTTGAATGTCTGTCATAAATATCTACGAAACTGCATAAACTAGAAGTGCTTTTTTACTCAGATTTCATATTTATATACCCATATCGATGAAGGCAATTCCATGCATACTATATATAAATATATGTATTTTTGTCATATGTCGGAATTTCACCACGTTGCTATTTGATACTGTAAAATCTCTCTTCTGTCTTTGGTCTGTCAGAAACCCCTGTGTCACGTAACACAAAATGCACTGTATCTGCGGGGGAAATGCAGTCGTGAACTGCTATTGTACATCTCAGATGTTTTTATGTGTATGTTTTTGATATCTTCTATGTCGTCTGGAAATATATTTGCACATAATATTTGAAGGGTTGTTTTTCATGCATTATACTTTTTAAAGGTGTGTTCAGTGAATAGCTGCATTATAATGTATTTTAACGGGATGCATTATGAAGTGCATTAATGCATTAAAAATGTTATACTTTTATAATGCATTATATATAAAGTGTTATCAAAAAATTATATATTAATGTACTTTTTAATCGGTTTAAATGCAGGGCAGATGAGCTTGAATGTCTGTCATAAATATCTACGAAACTGCATAAACTAGAAGTGCTTTTTTACTCAGATTTCATATTTATATACCCATATCGATGAAGGCAATTCCATGCATACTATATATAAATATATGTATTTTTGTCATATGTCGGAATTTCACCACGTTGCTATTTGATACTGTAAAATCTCTCTTCTGTCTTTGGTCTGTCAGAAACCCCTGTGTCACGTAACACAAAATGCACTGTATCTGCGGGGGAAATGCAGTCGTGAACTGCTATTGTACATCTCAGATGTTTTTATGTGTATGTTTTTGATATCTTCTATGTCGTCTGGAAATATATTTGCACACGTTCCCACCGATCACGAAGTGTTTGTTTGTTGAGGAGCTTCCTGAAAACCAACCGCTTCATGGTTTTTCCTCTAAACGTGGCCGATATTATTGAAATCCCGTTGTCGTCATTCTTAGGCCATCTCTCTTTCTCTCACGTGCTTTGTTTGAGAAGGTTTGTAACCAGCTTATCTCGGCGTGGTCCTAATGTGCCTAGTGTTTATATGAATCCAGCTCATAAGTCCTTTTATAGGCCAATCCGCCCACATCACTCAGCCAAGCCGATTATCGGGTTCACTTCACTCATAATGTACTTCGGTGGATTGCAGCGAGCAGCGGAATATCAGCTTTCACTCCATTGTGGCTCGGCCAACAGCGTAGTGGAGGATTTAAGTTTTCCCCGTAAACTTCCTCTGATCCTCCTTTGTTGATGGTACTCGAGTGTGTTGAGGTTAAACACGGCCTGAACTGGACTGGCACGAGTACAGATGACTCACTCACTCACTCACAAACACACAAACACAGCGATGCCAGACTGGAATTGGCTGCCGAATGTTTATGGTGGAGTTTTAGGTCAAAGTTCTTGGATTCAGTTAAGTTTCCACTGACGTCACCATGTAGTGACACAGCCATTGATTTACACGCTGCAGTTACGGCTACGGGTCATTTTTAGAAGAGAATAATATTCATTGTGTTGCTGTGGTGGGTGAGTGAATCTCACAATGAAATGCGTGGGTCATGCTTAACCCCAAAATGATATGTATGTACACACATACACAGACACACACACACATTTTTATTTTTTTTTTGCATTTTGCATTGCATTCATGTATCATGACAATACATTTCCCCACAAAATTCTCCTTAATGTAATGCTACATAAATAAATAATGTGATGAAAATCATCTTTTCCAGACACATGTTTTTTAATTGACTTTAATATTCAGTACAACAAATACTAGCATGATATATAGTTACATCTGTATTTACAATTAAAATCATTTAATTTCTAATTTAATTTTTTTTTCATATTTTCCTGAAAAACTGTATCACAGTTTCCACAAAAATATTCAGCAGCACAACCATTTTCAACATTGATAATAATCAGAAATGTTTCTCGAGCAGCAAATCAGCATATTAGAATGATTTCTGAAGATCATGTGACACTGAAGACTGGAGTAATGATGCTGAAAATACAGCTTTGATCACAGAAATAAATTACATTTTACAATATATTCACATAGAAAACAGTTATTTTGAAATGCAATAATATTTCACAATAATTATTCTGTATTTTTGATCAAATACATGCAGCCTTGGTGAGCAAAAAAGCCTTCTTTAAAAACATTTTTTATTTATTTATTTTTTTTCTGTCCCCAAACTTTTGCACAGTAGTGTATATATCCACAATGACTTTGGGGAATTTTTTATTCAATATGTATTAGAATAATATTTATTTGAATTACCATGTATTTTACAAAAAAAAAACTCATTCAAAAATAAAACCATATTGTATATGATTTTATTTTATAATATTTAACATACAAATACATTTTCCCCTCAAATTGTCTGTATGCATACAAGAAACTTCTTTCAGAAACAAAACAGAAATTGCAGACGTTTGATTATGATTTCATTTTATAAAAATATCTTGTTTTATAATATAATTTCTTGATTTCTAGGTGAAATTTGACCCTGCCATTTCTGGAGAGTTTCTGTGAGTGTCTGTGTTGATGGAGTTTGAGAGTTTGAGTGTGTGTTCCTGCTAGTGTTAGTGCTAGTGAGAGTCAGCGCTCTGTCAGATTTCCTCTCTCTCTCTCTCTCTCTCTCATGACACTGCAGTAAAGAACACAGCGGCACAGCTCCTGATCTCACACACCGCATGCGAGCGTCTGCTAGAGAAACACCAGTGTGAGCGCTGAGGGCCACATGTGCTCGGCATCGCTGTGTCACTCTCACTGAACGATGCCAACACCAATTGTCTGAATTTGTTGCTGAGGAGGCCTCTCCTGGATTAAGACCTGTGGGGAACGAGACAGGTGTTCCTGGCCGGCCTAGACACTAATCCTCTCACCTGCGCTGGGTCAGAAATGGGTCAGTGTTCCGTAACACTCCAAAACAGGGTCATCACCTCACACCCCAAACCGGGTCAACATCTCACAGGCGAGCGAGCCGAGTGGCCCATATTTCTAGGAAGCGCTCTAATCCTCCTCACACCACAATATAACTCTGTGAGTTATGTAAATCCACTGCTATAGTGAGAACGGACACTTTTGTGGCAAACACTGAAAAGAACTGTAATGATTATGTAATGGATGATGTGCAGCTGCTCAGGTCTCGTGTTTTGTCTTGTTTAATCTGCGATAATGACCATGATCCCACTTATTTCATGCAAAATCATAATAAATACTATACATATTGATTGCAGAGATACTGAATATGAGCACAGCTACGCAGTGTTATTTGAGTATAACTGAGATACTATGAAAGTTTTTTTATTAATGTTTTGAATTACACACTAAAAAAAATCCATAACAAAAGGGCACAATATACTGTATTTATTTTTTACATTTATTTGCCCTGTATTATTTTTTTATATATCTATATAGTTTTTATTCATTTTTTTTTCTCAATTTTAGTTATTCTTGGTACATCAAGTTAAACTAAATCAAAAATAAGAAATGTTTTTTTTTTTATATTATATTTTATTTCAGTTAAAGCTTTCATTTCAAATAGTGTTTCTACTTGTGAATATTTGTAAATATTTCAAATAGTGTTTTTATTTTTTATTTTGTGCTTTTGTGATTTTTTTTTTGTATATATATATATATATATATCAGTAGTTTTTATTCATTTTTATTCCAGTTTTAGTCATTTTAGTACATCAAGTTAAACTAAATGATTATTTCAGTTAAATTTTATTTTATTATTATCATTTTAGTTTTAGTTAACTATGATAACCTTGCAAATATATAAGGGAGCCCAGATGAATAAACAGTTATGCATTGTTGCCATGTAAAGTGATCATTATTCAGAAATATTGGACTGCTGAATGCTGCAATTGACCAGAATGAAGTATTGCAGGATGGATAATTTATATTTATAGATTTAATAATAAAAGGGGAAAAAATATAATGTTTTTATGATTTTGACAAATTTTTTATTAATATATTTAAAACAAAGAAACATGCATTTTCTATAAAGATTACAATGAATAATAAACATTTCAGATTCTGCACTATTTCTAGGTCACTAATCAAATTGGTGACATTGATCATGTGACTCTATGGACAGACATTCAAATGTTGTTCTTTCATTGAAGCATGAAAATGAGAGTCAGGTTGTATACAAATGTGTGGATCTTTCAACTTTTCACTGTAATTGTGATGATAATCATTTGTGCTGAATCATTTGTATATTTACATGTAGCAATGACTCTTAGAAAATGTATCTCACTTCATAACAAAGTACTGCATGTAATAAGGTTACGCCGACATAAGCATTGCATCACAGTGTGTGAGACAGACAGGTTTATGATTCTCATAGTAGGTCACTGGAGTACAAAGAGTGCAGCTAAATACTGAGCCTCAGCACTTTTCAGGCATCATGTAATCTGCACAAATCCTGACCTACTGACTGAACATCCACAGCCGCGCTCCCAATCTGACCACTACCAGAAATAAACCAGTGTCTGATGCCTTCGTTTGGATCACTAATGAAATTCATTTTCACCTTTAACATATTAGCCTAAACCAGTGCAATTATCCAGTAAAATTTTACACTGTTTATTTTGTCAAAATTACTTGACTGCATTAGTTAAGGTTATTATAGTTAACTAAAACTAAAAACATAAAACAATTTTATAAAATAAATTATAAAATAAAGATTTTTGTAAAAAAAAGTTACTGAAATAAAATAAAACATCTTTTATTTCATCTAGTTGTAAACTTTTCTCAGTTTCATTTAGTTTACCTAGATGCACTAAAATAACTAAAACTAAAACTGAAATAAAAATGAATGAAACCTACATAGACATTTAAAAATGCTAAAATCACAAAACACAGCAAAATTACTAAAACTAAAATGAAAACAGAAAATATAAAAATAAAAACGAATTTAAAATAGTAATAAAGCACTATAATAGTATCTCAATTATACTAAAATAGGTTTACTTGAACTAATAATAACGAGTACTTCTACAGTATTTAATCATCTTTGCTATTGTTCATTTCAATATTTAGTACTACAGTTTTAAAATCAAGAGTTGTATCTGTTGACATTCGTTAATGCACTGTGAATTATTAATAATTATCTCAGATAGGTCCTTCAAGGTATCTTGGAGAGGTGAGGTGTCTAAGTCGCAACATCTAACTACTGGGGTGCCTCAGGGCTCAGTTCTTGGACCACTTCTCTTCTCTGTCTACATGGCATCACTAGGTTCTGTCATTCAGAAACATGGCTTTTCATATCACTGCTATGCTGATGACACTCAACTCTACCTCTAATTCCATCCTGATGATCCGACTCTCTTCCATCTTTATTTGACCCTCTAACTCTAGCACTCTATTTTAATTATATTCTTAAAAAAACAAGACTGCCCCTTTTAGACTTGCACTCTATTCATTTACTAACTGCTTGTTTTCTTTAAATAAAAAAACTAACACTAGCTTCTCTATTATTTTTGTATTCTATCTATTTGTTTTCTTTTTATTTAAAAAAGGCAAAAAAGGCCTCTAACGCTAGCTTGCTCTATTCTTTTTCTATTTTATCTGTTTTCATTTTTTTGTTATATAATAAAAAAAAAACTCGGTATGTTTACTGCGTTAAGCTAACTGAGACTTGTTATAGCACTTGCATATCATTGCTCTTTTGTTGGTTTTGATTGCTTCCCGTTGTCCTCATTTGTAAGTCGCTTTGGATTAAAGCATCTGCTAAATGACTAAATGTAAATGTAAATTAACATGAACGGTTGAATTGTATGAATTAATATAAAAAAATAAATAAATCAATAACTTGCAATACAGTCATTGGTTACACTTCATTTTAAGGTGTCCTAGTTACAGTGTAATTATACATTTAAGTGCTGAGTAATATTAATTAACTACATGTACTTTCCATATGGTTAGGGTTATGATTAGGGTAACTTGCATGTAATTATGCATAATTAATTGCTATTACAATAGTAAGTACGTGTAGCATGTGTAACAAGGACACCTTAAAATAAAGTGTTACCCAGTCATCTATTCATTGTAATATGCTGTAGAAAATGCACTGCTTATTGTTAGTTCATGTTCGCTAATGCATTAACTAATGTTAACAAATGAGTCCTTATTGTAAAGTGTTACCAATTTTCTCTCTCAAAAACCACTTAACATACTTTACCATGTAAAAGACGTCAACTAAAAGGTTTTTAGTGTAGCTGAATTAGAATTAGCATTTAACGCCAATATTCCCCAACTTTACACTGACATGGATTGAAAATCAAACAATGATTCGAGTGACATTTGATGGGACTTAAACTAGCAGAAATCCTGTAGTTCCAGTACAGAGAGCTCAAATTGGAGTCTGTTTTGAGGGTCAACAACAGAGGCAGCAACAAGGAAATTAAGCAGACTTGATGTGGCGGGAGGGGTTTGTTGGTGTTCGCAGCCAACTGCAGATAAGGAATGTCTTTATATTTATTTACATACAACAAAGAGCCTCGGTCACTGTGGAAAATGGAGTAAAAATGGGGGGAAAAGCATCATCTCAATGACTCTCCACAGGTTTCATTGTGTATTGAAGCCCATAAGAATGCATTCTTTAAATGTGTTGCTTTATGAAACAACTGATTTGCAGTTGGCCTGCTTGTATTGTTGACCTGTCAGTTATGAGAGCTCATCAATAGGGTTTTAATCAGCATGCATCTGGATTAGATTAGACCCGCCCACCGCCACGCATCACTTACATAAACCTGCAGCTCTGCAGCTCCTGCTCAGTGTGCAGCTCCGTTCCCTTCATCACAGACAGTCCCTGGGGAACAGTAGTGATGGACCTCAAGGAGTTATGCCTGAGTGAGAACTTCCAGTTTCTAAACCAGCACACGTAAGCAGGACTATTACTGTTACAAATGCAAATGCCTTTTTATATATTACTTTTTATACCTAAACTCTGCAGAAAGTGTTGTCATATGTGTTATGTGTCAGATGCAGCTCAAAGTGTTCATTAATTAATAAAGTGTTTTTTTAAAAAGCAAAATGAACTTTTTGTGCAGGTTGTAACATTTGCAACTCTTTGATTTGACTAAAAATGCCAGCAACGAAGCTTCAGTTTACAGTTTTAATGGACTGAAACGTTTGTGCTGTGTAATGTGATGACACAAGACTGTTTGAAGATTGCATGCCATTGCAAATATGTAAATAATGCTTTACTTTGCATTATGTATCATAAATATGCAGTGCACTATGCAATGCTTAGAAAGTTATTTAAGCTTTAATCTTTAAAAAATACTGTTTCTAATCTCAACTGCATACTGGCATGATGTTTTTAAGATGTGCAATATTTTACTTTCAAGGATTATGAACTGACTAAATTGGTAGTTAATGCATGTTTTTTTTTTTTTTTTTTTTAATACTACATAGGCTAATAATTTAAATAACCTAAAAGTCATTAATTAATAACCCAACTCATTCATAAATATTATATGTTGCTTAACAGGTCAGTAGTTCATGCAGTTTACATTAAAAAGATGAATATATAAAGAGCCTACACTATCTGTTCAAAAGTATGACATGATAATTAATCCCTTTTGCCTCTTATATACGAGTGTAAATGTAATTAAAAGACAAACTAACACTTTTGAAACTTGCTCCACCTCACATCAGTCTTTTGGATGCGTCCACCTCTGATGACCCTCCGTCCCCGACCGATGCGCCGCTCAAAGCCGCCCCGCTGAGCCCCTCGCTCGGCCTGGACAGCAGCGCGACACCGTTCAGCCCCGGCAGCGCGTCGGACAGCAGCGGCTACAGCGTTTTCTCCGGGAACCCGTCTCTGAACCCCGACTCCCCCGTCAGCTCCATCTCCATCTCCATCTCCAGCAGCAGCGCTGCGGCTCTCTTCCAGCCCGTCGGTCACACAGAGTCCCTGCTGAGCTGCGACTACATCGCGTCCCTGAACCCCGGGCCCAAGCGCCTGTGCCTGGTGTGCGGAGACTTCGCGTCCGGCTATCACTACGGCGTCGCGTCGTGTGAGGCGTGCAAGGCCTTCTTCAAAAGAACCATTCAAGGTAACGACTGCAGCCACAAAACATCATAAGACTTATTAATGGAAGTTAGTATGAAATTAAACAAGTTGAATTATTATATAGTAACAGGGCCGTCCTTAGCTGGAGCGGGGCCCCCCTCGGTCCGTTCGCGATCGAGTTCTCTCAGAATTGGCTCATAAAAATGATGTGACACTTAGATGCCTGCATTTTCATTTTTAAACAAATTACTGATTTTCGCTGCATGTATAGGCTAATGACTTAACAACGAAAATTAGTGTTCAAGTGTGTGCATGCATTTTTAAAGCAGCAGTGCTGTTAATGAGTGTAATGATCAATATGACATGAGTTAACTATCTGTCTGACATTGATTTGTGTGTGAAGACTCAGTGTGCTGCTGTTTTAATCAAAGCATACTGTCAACACAAGTGTCTTGATTTTGATTATTTGGAATGGTGTTTATAAAATACCAAATTAAAATTAAGTTTTATTATTATTATTATTATTTGATGAACTGTGAAGCTGAGATAAAACTGTTGCCAATGATTAATACTTAGCCACTGGAATTTCTATTAAATTTAAAATGTTTCTATTGTAAGATTTT